CATCTATTAGTGACCACAAACGGCACCATTAAGGAAAAGGCTGGATGGAGGCTGGCACCTAGACCCACGCCTGAGCCACTCGGAGTGGCAACTCCCTTATTTCCACTCTCCCTTACGTTTTACTCAAGAACCTGCCTATGACCAAGTCTGCCTGCCTAGCATGGGCTGGAGCAGAAGGCCACGGGGCTGCCACCTTCCTGTGCCCTCAGGGAGGCTGAGGGTGAAGGCTTCCACCAGGATGAAGCTAGAGCCTGAGGCCTCCACCCGGTTCACGGGGCCTCCTCTACGTGGGGCGCTGCAGGGCGGAACTGGAGCGGCTGGAACCAGGAGGCCACCAGCCAACAGCTGAGCATCTGGCTGGACAAGGCCTCCAACCTCAAGTGCTCTGAGGTTGCCTGGGTGCCGAAGTCTGTGCCTGGACTAGGCCTTCAGATAGTCCCCAGCAGCTCATGTGACCTGCGTCAGGTGAGTTCTGTGGTGTCGGCTGTGTGAGCCGGGCTGCCCAGGCCCCACGGGGACCCAGCACGCTCACAGCAGGCCGGCACCACTGCCACCCTCAGGAGACCCTCCCTAGCACGGAGGCCAGAGGAGTCTCGCTTCTCTCGGGCTCCTTTGATGTGGCTTCTGTCCCAGCAAAGTCCCCACTTCCCTGACACCAAGGCTGATGTTAATGGTTCATGAGCCGAACATGGCTCGGAACACACTTTGCTCGAGGAGGAATGACAGCATGCTCTCTGTGGGAGGAGAATTTGAAACACAAGTCCGCACCAATGCTGGGCTTAGACCCCGAGCCGCCTGCCGCACAGCGCTTCCTCCCGGGACGGGTTGGCCGGCTGAGCGCCGTGGGGCATTTCAGGGCACCAGAGAACACAGATTAAGACGACAAAACCTTCCTAAAACAGAGCAGACTTGCTAGCATTCTTCTGAAGGGAAGCATTTCACATTCAGCCTAAAGTTTTCTAAGCAAAGAACATTTAACAAACTGAGTCCTAGAGGAAAATGTATGCAGCGCTTAGAAAGCAAATGAGTGAGAACTAGTAAATGAAATCAGCTGTCCCTGTCTCGCCCGCCCTCCTTGTGGCCCTGGGCGGCTGGGCCTGAGGGCTGGTCTCCCTAACCCCTGAGTGTTAAGGCCCCTGTCCCCCTGTCCTGAGCTCTTTCAGAGACCTCTGACCCCAGGCCACTGCTGTACACGAGTCCTCCCTCTGCACACAGCACTGTGGGAGCCCTTGGCTCTAAGAGAACCAGCCAGAAGCCCCTTGCCTGAGAGGAGGCCACAGCCCCGACTGGACTGAGGGCCGCTTGTTTTTGAAGGCCTCCAACCTGCCCAGAGGTGCTCTGGGGCCAGGGGAGCACAAGGAAGCCACAGACATGGGGAAGAGGTCCCCTGCGGGGTCAGTGAGCGCCCCGGGCTGAGCAGGGCGCTGCAGGGGATGGGCAGCAGGAGGTGCTGGAGGTCCCCTAAGAGGGAAGCCGGCACGGGGTGACAGGCACATCCAGGGCTGGACAGGACAGGGCCTGGGCAGCGGCATTAAGCAGGGAGGCTGGGGTGCTAGGGGTGTTTCACGCAAGGGCCTAGGATTTCTGGTGGCAGAGACTTTGCCTTCTAGGTTGTGTGTCTGCGGTGGGGGCATCCTCCACAGAGGCTGGGAGCTGGAAGGGAGGAGCGTGGGGTGGAGTGAGCAGCGAGCAGGGAGAGGCAGGTGGGGCGCAGGGCCAGAGAGAGCTGAGACAGGGAGTGCAGGTGCTCAGGGGGTCCTGCCCGCCAGGTGCTGACCTGGACTGCAGGCAAGGAAGAGACCTGGAGGGACCTGGGGACCCTGGGCCTGAGGGGAGGGCCCGATGTATTCACTGAGTTCGCCCCTAATTAGGTTCGTTTAGCTTAAGTGCTTGGACTGTGCCGATAGCATCCCACCTACCCCAGGCCAAGCGAGCCAGTGTGATGACTCCTCTGCTCAGAGCATGCTGCCCTGTCGGTGTCCTGCACCCCAGGAGGGCTCGGTGGCCCTCGGGGAGGTCTGGGTGGTGACCCAGCGTGAGGCTGCCTGCCCCCTACCACAAGAGGAGGGGGACAAGGTGTCTCACTAGGCTTTCTGGGAAAGTTCTGGAAAGACAATGTCCAGGGCAGAGGTCAGCACTGATGAGGAAATAGTCCCTGCAGCTTCACCCACATTTGCTTTAAGAAATAGGCCCAACTGGAGGTCTAAGCTGCTTAATTCCACATCTGTTTCTCCTCTCTCTACACTAGGTCCTGGGCCACCACCCTCTCGCTCTTTTCCTGCTTGTGGGACTGTCCTTCTCAGAGCCCTCTGGTGTCCCTCCTCCCCTGCCCACCTCCAGGACCTGGACTTCCCCTGCTGCTTCCCTCTTCTCTCAGTTGATCCCTCATGGATCACCTGTTCCCAGGTGACAGCCAACCCAGGTACCTCCTGACTTCTGACCACTAGAAGTTCACCATTCCTTTCCCTGCTTCCCCACACCAGCTGTGTCTCCCAAGTAGCCTGGGGCCCTGGGCCTCCCCCCCCTCCTCCTGCCCCCCCCCAACCCCTTGCATCTGTACCCAAGCCCACCCTCTCCCACCCAGATGTTGGAACAGCCTTTGCCTGGTCTCCCTGTGCCTGGCCTCCCTCCTCTGGCCACCAGGTGGGATCTTTCTAAATTACACAGCAGACCACATTGCTCCCCTGTGACCCTTCAGTGGCTTCCGTTGACCCCAGGAGGCTGCCTGAGCATCTGGGCAGGGAAGGGCAGGCTCTGCCCAGTGGCCCGATTGCTCTGTGTCTCTTGTTCCTGGAGCCCCAGGGGCCCGGACCTGAGCAGCTGCCCACCAGGCCCTTCCTGGCCTCCACGCCTTGGCTATTCCTGGAACTCCTGACCTCAAGTGATCCTCCCACCTCAGCCTCCCACAGTGCTAGGATTACAGGCGTGAGCCACCACACCCGGTCCCCTTTGCTATTCTTTGTGGCCCTCATCTGTGTGTGCGAAGGGGTGTGGCCCCAGCAGAGGAGCGTGGGCTTCAGGAGCCATGGTCCCTCCCCCAGACCCTAGCCAGCCTACCCACGGCCCCAAGGATAACTAGAGGACCTTTGGCCTAGGTCAAACAGGCCATCTCTCTCTCGACAGCTGATTATTTCTGTGCATGTATTGTACAAGTTTGCAGTCCGCATGCCAGAAAGGTGACATGCTGGGTCTGACACCTTCAGATCTGTCAAGCTGGAAAGAGAACTGAAAGACAGGAGGCTAGAGCCAGGCCAGCAAATTCCATCCGTCAAAGCAGGAGGGAGGGCCTTGCAAGTGTGGCCACGTGGGTTGTCTCAGTAGGACCAGAGGGCGGGGGGCGTTGCGCTCACCCACCCACCCTACCTCCAGTCCCAGGGAGTGGGGTTTCTTTTTCCTGAGGCCAGATGAGGAGGACAAGGCCTGTGCCCCTCTGCACCCGCCGTGGGCACTCGGTATTTCATCACCTGACCCAAGCCGTGTATGAAGTACTAGGAGCCCTTGCTAGCTAACTGACAAGTGGCAGCCCTGCCCCCCTGCAGTCCAGCTCATCTGAGGCCACCTGCCACCTGCTCAGGCTCAAACTCATTCCCTCCCTTCCTCCTTCCCTTCCTTTCTTTCTCTTTCCCTGCTGAGTTGTGGGCGCCAGTCTCTGCTTAGAGTTGAGGGAGACTGCAAATGTTCATCAGAAAGGCAGCAATATTGGATCGACCTCTTGGGGACATCCCAGCTCATGTCACACATTGCACACCCATGAATGTGCTCTTCACACTGAGGGTGCATCTATACTTCACAACCATCCCAAATAGGTACAGTCGGCCCTAATTATTATTTTTTTAAATATATTATACCACTCCTTCTTTTTTTTTTTTTTGTTCCTTAGGCCCATTCATGTACTTGTAGTGGCCCTACTTATAGATGAGAAAACTGAGACTCAGGTAAATGACAGTCCCTGAGAGGTATAGGCCAGGTCACCTGATACCAATGTCCCTTTTCTCTCTACCTTTCTCACCAAGGCTGAATATTAATGATACATAAGCATACTCAAAAATATGTAAATGAGCACCATCCAGCACCAATCTCCTCTTACCTCCAGGACAAGTTCCTGGGGAGGGGTAACATAGTCCCTACTCTGTCCCCCCTCCATGTGCTCTTCTCCCTCAATACCCACAAAACAAGATCACTGCCCCACTACCTCCTCTGAGCCCTTAGTGAAGATGCCAGAGATCTTTTCTTGTAGCCTCATCTACTTCCTATTGTTCTTCCACTCAGTCACCACCACCTGGACCCCTACATCTCCCTGCCCCCAGTCTGGTGACTTCCCTGGCAACCCTGAAAACATTTAATTTACCAATATTTGGGAAGGGGTGGGTTCTTATAATGGTCTTGCTGTTCTGGCTCCTGGTCTTTAGTTCCTGACTGTAAGGCAGTCACTGGTTTCTGCTTTTATTCCTGAGAATGGCCCAGTAGTGTGAATTATTTCTCTGGGATGGATTCAATAGTAGAATTACTCAGTAAACTTTAAAGCTCCTGATACCTATTGCCAAACTGCTTTCCACCAAGGTTATGTCAATTTACCAATTGTTTGAAAATGCCTATTTCACAACATCTCTACCAGCTCTGTGCTTTTGCATTAAAAAAAATTTTTTTTTGAGAGTTTAGTAAGCAATGATGTCTGGTTACATTTTCCAGGACACTTAATTTGTACTGAAGGAGCAGGAATTTGTACTTTCTCCATAGATTTGGGTGTGCAGACACACCCCTTTGTGCTGGCCTTGTGCCCCTCCTGAGCACAGGTTTAGGATGGGACTCCAGGTCCGCCCCAGCCTGCCTACCCCAGAGCTGCGTTTTTCAAACTTTCTATCCAGCAGGAGAACCTTTTCTTAAACAATCTCACACAGCATTTCTTTATATGAAAACATTGACAAGTAGTACATGAGGCTAGGCTTGGTGCAGCGCCCCACCCCCACCCCTCTCCTCCTGATTCCAGAAGCCCTGTTTACCTGAGGAGGGGCCACTCGGACCTTGTAGTCCTTTTCTCCGAAGAGGGGATGTCACCGCAGAGTCAAAACCTGAAAGGAGATGACCAATTCAGAAGTGCCCCGAAGGGAACTCAAAGACTGCCACCAAGCAGCCCAGAGCAGGTGAGCCAGGTACAAAGACCAAAGGGCCCCACCTGCGCTGGAGGCACCGCCACACCCTCCATGTCGCCAGGGCGAGGGTGTGGGCTCGGGCAGTCTGTGCGCGGACGAAGTGCAGCCGGAGGGGGTGGGGGCGGGGTTTGCGTGACCAGGACGGAGAAGGGGGCAGGGCGAGGAGGGTTGACAGGTGGGGAGGACTCCAAGTGGACGGTGGGACCCAGGCAGGGCGGGGCCGGCGCTGGGCGGTGTTGGGGTGGGGTGGGGGGCGGGGAATAGGTGAATTCAAAGCTCCAGCCGCAGGGCCTGGGTTTGATCTGATAGGAGAACCAGAACAATCAGAGCTCCCGGAGCCTTGTGTGTAATCGCTGTCTCACAAGATACCTGGGGGTGGGGAAAGCTGAACTCAGGCCTGGGAAGATGGTTAGTGGCCTCTGAGCCGGGGGCGGGTTGGGGTTAGGCAGCAGATAAGGGGGAGGGTAGACAGGCTGGCGAGGGGAGGCTCTGCCGGGACACTTCGTGAACCCAACAGGGTCCTTGGAAGGGACAGTGGGAGGGCACTGGTGTGAGCGGAGGCCTTTGGACACGATGCCGTCTGCTCCCTGCACCCGTTGCTAACCCAGGCCAGGGATCCTGGCTCTACGCCCTAGGGACACTGCCTTCCACACTTGGGCCCCAGTCCCAGGTCGCAGGCCCTGCCCCTGCCCCTCTAGCTCCGCCCCTGGCCTCAGGTGCTGGCTCCGCCCCCGATCTCTGGCCCAGTGCACGTCTCTGGCCCCGCCCCTGGCCCCGCCCCCAGCTGACCAGCCACGTCCTTGGCTCACGGCTCCGGTGTCTGGTCCGTGCCCAGTCTCGGCTTCCAAGTCCAGCCCCTTCGCTGCCCAGCGCGGCCCTGTGCCGCTCTCCTTGCACCCTCCACCTTCTCAAGCCAGTCCCGAGGCCCGGCCCAAAGCCCTCTTACCACCCCTACGTCCCAAGCAGGGCGACCATCACTCCTCAGGGTCCTTCTGGAACATACCCCATCCTTTATAGACACTTATTTTGCAAACTACCCAAACCAAGTGTTTTGGAAGAATCTGTGAGCTGAGTCCCAATCCATTCTCCCTGCCCCAGCCAAAGAGGTTGCAGAGGCGCTGGCAGGAGTGTCTCCTCCATGGCAAACAGTTGGCTCCATTGTCATTAGGAATCCACAGGGAAGAGGTGTGGGCTCCAGGGAGACCTGGGTCCAGGCCAGACCGGCCCTCCAGCAGCTGAACATCTTGGGCAAGTCCCTTAATCTCAGAGCCTCAGCTGCCCCTCCCTGCAACACTGGGGCCCCTGCAGGATCTCAGATGGCCATGCCCAGGACCAAGTGAGCATCAGTACTTGATGTTGCCAGATCACGGTGGGAAGAAAGAAGCCAGAGCCTCCAGGTCCGTGCTCGGACCTGGGTTCCCCAGAGGCCCTTGTTTCTATGTGGACACCCTGGCTTGTGCCCTCTCAGCTAAGTGCCTGGCAAGTTTCCCTTCCCACCCATAGCCTGGGGAGTCCAGCCTGCCGGGAAGTCAGAGGGTGGTCTGCTGTCCTGGCCTGTCCCCATGTCCCTGGAACACCTGCCTCCTTACCCACAGTAGACGACGACCCGCAATGGGCTTCTGTCCTTCACCCTCTTGCTGGGCTCACCTGAGCCGAGACCACGGGCTAGCAAGTATCTGGAACTGCACACAAAGGAGACAGGCCTCTCCTGAGCCACCTATGTGACTCCCAGTCCCCACTGTCCTCTCTCCAAGTGGGGAGACCCTCACCTCTCCCCTCTCAGTGAGAAGGTTGCCCAGCAGGGCCTCTGGCCTCTGCCATTTCCCAGACAGTCCCCCCACCAGCTGCACAGCCCCTCACGCCCCCCACCTGCCACCAACTCTTGTGAAAAATCCCCTGCATGTTTTTTCAAAATAGAATTAAATGACAAGAACTGACTATTCAGGGAGGGGTTCCTGAGGGGAAATGGAATCTACAACCTTGAAATTATAGGCCCTTCTCTTTTCTCAAAAGCAAAGAAAAACATGTCAGATCATTGATATTCTGAGCCAGACCTTGTTTTGAAATATATTCTCCCTCCATCCTTTCCCAAACTGCAGCCTTTCTCCCTGTTTGAAAATAAGATCACATCAAGTCAGGGATTAGAAATGGGAAAAATTCAATCAGAGCCTCCCTCTGCCAGCTACACATCTCAACATACTCCCAGGCGAGCGTCGCTCCCGCGCCAATCGTCATTCAAAACGCACCGGTAGGAAATGGTGAGACAGAAGGACCTTTCATCCCCGGCTGAGTGGGGCCTGCAGGGCTGCTCTCCTGGCTCTGGCAGCTGCTGTGCCAGGGCCGAGTCGGGCCTCTGGCTTAAATAGGCAGTGGGAGCCGGGCGGGCGGGCCTGGGGGCCGGGCATGGAAAGTGGGCTGTTTACCCAGCATAGCAAGACACTCTTTGTGGAGCCAGCAGTGGTCCCAAGCACGCGCCCGCCCGCCCGCCTGTCCACCAGGAGGCCTCAAGCCCACAGGCCCCAAGACCGCAGACCAGCACCTGGAGTGACCCCTGATGGACGTGCAGTTCCAGGTGAGACCATGTCCCTGGACGCACCAAGTTTGGTCAGGTTCCTGACGCCTCTGCCTCTCCTGGTAGCAAAACCTGCTGCTGAGTTGGATGGACCTGCTCCCCAGAACCAGCAGTGGTCTTGGGCAGGGCACCTCTCTGAGCCTCAGTTTCTGCCTTCTCAAAATGAGGATAACACTGACTATATAGGTCCAGAAAGAATGTTTGCAAAGGGCCTGACACCTAGGGAGTTGATTTATTTATCCACGTGGTAATACTGGGACCAGGTACCTTCAATGAGGCTCAAGCCCAGAGAGGTTTAGTAATATACCCAAAATCACACAGTCTTTCAGCTGAGTGTCAGGGTCAGGCTTCATGCAGACCTGAGAACGCCCAGCCTCACCCTTCAGTTGAAGCTTGGGGTGAGGGTGGGAAGCAGCTGCTTGCCTTGGGGAAAGGTCTTGACTTAACCCTCCTGTCTGCATTTGGCCGAGACCTTGGGAGGAAGATGCAAAGTGACTACTAAGGATGGCTGGTGAGAGGAACACTGTAGGAAGGTGAGTCTCTCACCTGGTTGGTTCAACTTGATCTTCCAGTGCATGGGGCAGTGCCCCCTCCTCAGTGAACAAAGATTAGGAATTGAGACAAAGTGGTAGTTACTTTGTCATTTTATGCTTGTAAAATTTCTACCCTTAAAAGTGCAATTAAATCTGCTAGTAGATTTAACTGAAGTCACACGCGAGAACCTGTCCTTAGCAGGAAAAGTATGCGTTTTGAGTTTGATGAACAAAATGTTAGCTCTCATTTCTACCAAAGAGGCAGCAAAACAAAGGCCAAGATCTTGTAGTTGGAATCTGAAAGTGGATCAACTTTACTATGAATGCTGATGGAGAGGCTGAAGTTAGCGTTATGTATAAACCCTGTTCATCTGCCAGTCGTGAATTGTTGTGTATTGTGGGCCTGACACCCTTCCAGGAGTTTGGACTGTGATGGCAGAGATGTGTATGGAAAGAGGATGCACTTTAGGGCCCAATCTGGGTGTAAATGCGGCTCTGGGCAACCCTGGCCCTTCACTTAGCCTCTCTGAGCCATGGGTTTCTACCACTTTGCAGGGTTGTTGGGAGAATTAGATGTGATGATCTTGGTAAAAACCCTCAGGAGGCATTCAGTGATCAGTTGTCCATTTGGGACAACTGTATGGGACAATTGTATGGGAGCATGGGCAGGACAGCGGGGAGCAGAGCAGGAAGGCCAGTGCAGTGGCTGAAGCAGGGAGGTGACAGGGCCGAGGTGGTGGGAAGAGAGGGGTCATGTCCCTGGGGGACATCTAAGACCACAGGATGGTGTTACGGACTGAATGCTCGTGCACCCTCCCGAATTTCCATGTGGGGGCCCTAACCCTCAGCGTGGCTATCTTTGGAGATGAGGGTCTGTGAGGCAGTACAGATAGTTCCAGATTTACAATGGTTTGATTTAAGGTTTTTCAGTTTGATGATGATGTGAAAACCATAGGCATTCAGTAGAAACCATACTTCCAATTTTGAATTTGATATTTTATTGAAAATTTTCATTATTATTATTATTATTATAAAATAGGCCTTGTGTTAGATGATTTTGCCCAACCGTAAGCATTCTGAGCTTATTGAGACAGAGTCTCGCTCTGTTGCCCAGGCTAGAGTGCCGTGGGTTCAGCCTAGCTCACAGCAACCTCAAACTCCTGGGCTCAAGCAATCCTTCTGCCTCAGTCTCTCAAGTAGCTGGGACTGCAGGCATGTGCCACCACGCCCAGCTAATTTTTTCTATTTTCAGTAGAGATGGGGTCTCGCTCTCGCTCAGGCTGGTCTCAAACTCCTGACCTCAAGCAGTCCTCCCACCTTAGCCTCCCAGAGTGCTAGGATTACAGGTGTGAACAACCACGCCTGGCCTCTGAGCACATTAAGTTAGGCTACGCTAAGCTATGATATTCGGCAGTTCAGGTGTATTAAAAACATTTTTAGCTCAGGATATTTCCAACTTACAATGGGCTTATAGGGATGTCATTCCATTGTAAATTGAGGAACATCTATAATTAAAGTTAGAAGAGATCATAGGGTGGGGCCCTGATCTAATAAAATTAGTATTGTTATATATAAGAAGACATGTCAGAGAGCGCTCATAGGCACCAAGGAAAGGCCACACGAAGAGCCAAGAAGGCAGCTGTCTACAAGCCAGGAAGAGAGCCCTTGCCAGGAGCTGACTGTGAGAACATAAATTTCTGTTTTTTAAGCCACCTCAACTGTGGTCTTTTGTTAGGGCAGCCGGAGCAGACTAATACAGATAGATGGGACCGAAGGGTGGTTGGGTAGCATGAAAATGGACCAGGAATTAATTC